CTTCCTCCATCCTTCCGTGTCCACAGTGACTACCGTGTGTGGCTTTCCCTCCCTCTTCCTTGTGCATTTCCCTCCCATATCAAGACCTTCAGATCGAGGGCAACATGGACCATTTCCCATTTTTCCAGCCGGGCAACTCACCAAGAACAAACCCAGACATCAAGGCCAGACCAAAAAAATCTTCTTGTTTTAGACAGAAGACTCCTACATCTGGGGGATTTAATGCACCCACTGTCCACGCAGCGCATTTCCTGTGTCCGGAGCTTCTCTGCCTGCCGGCTCTGGTCTTGCAAGTTTCCATACCCTGCTGCCAACTTATAATAACAGAGGCAGCAGGCAGCCGGGTAGGAACGTCATAGCCCACTCTGTATGTGGGCGCATGCTTTGCAAACTGAAACAAAGCTTGGAAGGTCTTGTTGCAAGCCTTTAAGCCTTGACAGTGGTTGTACCCAGACCACCAGGAGCCTGGAATTAAATACCCTCAGATCCAGTTCTCAACCATTAATGTTATCAACTCCATCAAGTACTTCCTCTTTGAACAGTGTCTGCAGAGAAATAAATAAATCAAGCTCCTCCAAGTCCTGTTCCTGCCCGGATCCTGAGTCAGAGGTAAAATCTGAGTTGAATTATCTAGAGCACTGTCTCCCTCCCTCATTGTTCCCAAAGATCTGGGCAGGAACGGAGAGTGAAATCTCTCCAGGACATTACATCAGTTCCTCTTTTACCCTCGGCATGAAAGTTCTTCCTCTCATAGTCCTCCCAGACTTCCTAAGGCTTGCCCTGAGTGCAGCCCACACACTGAGCCTTGAAGCCCAGGACATCAAAGAAAGCCTGCAGGTAACCAGATTACTGACCAACGCCTTTGTCCATTCTGAAATTTATAAGACGGGAAATGGATTCAGGAAATGGGACTTTTCTTCAATATATGGTCTTCATCATCCTTAAGTATTTTTAAACCTTAATAAGCTTTTAAGTAAAGAGAGACATTCTGTAAATGACAATTAGAAGAAAATATATGAAAGTTCTAGTTACTGACAATGATCATACTCTGTGACCGATGAAAAGTGAACCATGGACAAAAGATAAATCCATTTTTATGGGAAGAAGAATTGAGATCTAAAAGAGGTCCATGTTAGCCATAAAAAAAAAAAAAAAAGGAAAGAAAGAAAAAAAAAAAAAAAACCTTACTTTGTCCCCAGAAGATTACAGATCATTTCTATCATAAGATTATTCTGATAGTTATCCATTCAAGTTAACTCCATTGGCATAGTCAGTATCCTGTAAAATGAGAAAGTTACTGCTTGTTATTCCAACCTGTGTCTTTGTGAGGTTGATTAAGCACTTAAAAAGGAAATCTTTCATAATGGAAAGTATGAAACCTATACAAAAGTAGAGAGACTTGGATAAGGAAGCACCACATATCCATTACCAGTTTTGATTATCAATCACAGCCAGCCTGTTTCCTCTGCCCCCCACTTACTCTCTCCTTACCTTCCCAGATTATTTTAAAGCAAATCCCAGATATATATTTTCCTCTGTAGAAACATCAGCACATGTCTTAAAAGAAAAGGACTCAATAAAACCATAATCATAGAACTAGCACATCAACCAAAAACTAGTATTTCCTCAGTATTACCAAATGTCCTATTAGAGGTTAAGTTTTCCCAACTATCTTGTAAATGATTTTTACCGTTTGAATCAGAATCCAAACAAGAGTTTATACAATGCAAGGGGTTGATGTGTCTCTTAAGTCTCTTTCAATCCACAGTGGATCCTTCTTGTACAAGCCTTTGAGAGCTCTCTCATGCATGCTTATGATCTTTCTTTCCTTGGTTTTTTGTTTTTTAAGCTAGCCATTAATGACATAACTTTTTTCATTATATATTACAGATTGAGAGTATCCCCAACTTAAAATGCTTGGGTCCAGAAGTCTTTTGGGATTTGGGATTTTTTTTTCAGATTTTGGAATATGTACATATATACAATGAGGTAACTTGGTGAGGGGATGCAAGTCTAAATAGCCTGAAGGTTATTTTATACAATATGTTTAATAATTTTGTTGATGAAGCAAAATTTCATGGTATGGAATTTTCCACATGTGGTGTCATGTTGAGGCTCAAATAGTTACAGATTTTGGAGCATCTGAAATTAACATTGATGCTCAACATGAATCTCCCTCCTCCCCCAACCCCCCCCCACACACTCACCTACGTCCTTCCCCAGCTACTTTCAAACTGCTCATTTTGTTTTTTAATGGTCTGTTTTCTCTTTTCACAGCTTCTGTCATCACTCATTATGACCACCCTTTCCTTTAAGTGTGTGAACTTATTTATAATAGCTACGTCATTTTTGCTAATTCCAGCATCTAGATTACCTCAAGATCTGTTTCTGTTGATTGCCTTTCTTCTTAATTATAGGTCACATTTCTTCTTATGTCTAGAAGATTTTTATTGGATTCTGAAAATTATAGATAAACACATTTTAGAGACTTTGGATTATGTTATATTCCTCTGAAGAGTTTTTTTGTTTTGTTTTGTTTTGTCCTATCAGGCAGCTAATTTATTAAACAGTCACTTCAGAGTTGTGGAGGCTTGGCCTTAAGTTTGATTGGGCCAAATCTGTTTCTTTGTTGGCTTTAGCCCTCAGCAAGATCCCTTTGTCTTAGAGCAGAGTCTACTCCTAAGATATGGCGGTTCTGGGCTAGTAGACAGCTAGAAGTGTTTACAGAGCCTTCTCACTTGATGAGAATCAAACTCTGAACTCTGTTTCTATTGTCATAGCCAGTTGCTGAGACTTCTGCTTATATCTACCAACCATACAACTATTGCTTTTGAGTGAACTCCTTAAAGCTACCCTGCACATATACTGTTTAGGAATCAGACAAAAATTAGAACTCTTACATGCCAATTCAGTAGCTTTCCCTCTGAGTCTCCCTCCTTTATTAGATTTGCTTCTGTAATTTTCTGCCATTTTAACCTCTACATATCTACCTCAAGTAACTTTCTGTTCATCTTCTAACGTACCTATGCTTCGTGGACTAAAGTACTCTCAGGGGAATAGCTGTATTAATATTGATCTCCTTCTGTGCACATCCCTTCTCTCAAGAATAAAATCCTCTTCAGTTTTTGTCTGCTTTTGGTCATTCACTAATATCTTCAAATGGGTTTTTGGTTTTTTGGTTTTGTTTTGTTTTGTTACCAGGGATTGAACTCAGGGGCACTCGACCACTGAGCCACATCCCCAACCCTACTTTGTATTTTATTTAGAGACAGGGTCTCACTGAGTTGCTTAGCACCTCGCTTTTGCTGGGGCTGGCTTTGAATTCACAATCTTCTTCCTCCTTCCTCCTTAGCCTCCCGAGCTGCTGGGATTCCAGGCTTGTGCCACTGCACCCAGCTCAAATGCTTTTTTTAAACATTTCTTTGAAGAAAGGGTAGTCTCATATAAGCCACTCTGCATTACTGAAACTAAAACTCCTCTTTATTACATAAGTGGTAGCAGATCTAAGATCTGCTTTTCATGGCACCATTTACCATGGATATCAGTCCTTAGCAATGTATTGAGATGCTCCTAATTCTTTTTTACAGTTTTATAGTACTCCATTATTTAGAGATATACTATAATTTATTAAACAAATCTTATAGTGATAGCTATTCCATTGAATGCCTTCAAGATGATCTTGTAATATCATGAACAATATTTCTTTTGTTTATGTCTCATGTGATAGGTGTGATCTAATAGAACTTAAAAAGCAAAAAAATTCTTTATTTTCCTGATAATCCAGTAGGAAACATGAAGAAAATACCCCCTTCTGTCTCTGTTTACTGACTCTATTTGATTCCCATATCCCTTTTATGCATTCTTCCTACGCAGATTGTCTTAGTGGAAAAAGATGATATCTCTGTCTTTACTCAGAATCATAGGCAAGTCTTTGACCAGAATTGGAATCAGCAAGTAGGCACAGCCTTTTGGTGAGACAGTTCTGGGAACACATGTGGCCAGAGACCTCATTGAGATGGATGTGAGATTCTATAGAAAGCTCCATTTTTCATGGGTGGATCTCTGTCCTTCTGAGCCTTAGCAGGAGCTCCTGAAACCACACATGTGCTGGTCCATCCCTCAACCCAGTGCCCAGAGCTGCTCCTGTTGATGAGCTGTGCACTGCTATCCTCACCAGCTCATAAGTTCAAGTAGGATGGGGTGCATGTGTCATTGGGGTATCCACCCCTCCTCCTTCTGATTTCCAATCTGAGCATTTATGGGGTCTATGTACTTGGAAAGGTGCTACTAAAAGTTCTTTCAAGGGCAATAAGATTGTCATTCTGTAAATTAGGGCCACAGTGTATGCTGAGAGCAAGTTTTGCTATGACTTTGTGTCCTAGTTTCTATGTGACAAAGTGACAGATATTGTAATGAGAGAGTCTGATTCTAATCTGCCAACTGGCTGTGTGACCTTGGGTAAGTTGCCTATATCTTGGTTTTATCATCTGCAGAATAGGGGTGATAGTGATGTTTCCCGCTGAGGAGCATTGTAAGTTTTAAACAATAAAATCCAGGACCAGGACCTAGTCATTGTTAATCATCATCATTATTATTAGCAACAATAGTTCCTGGAGAGAGTATAAAAATTGGGTTATGAAAATGTGAGTCAGTAAGAGCATCTAGAGAGAAACCCCTAAGGACCCGTCACCTCTGAAACCTACATGGAAGAGTCAAGTGAGAAAAAAGTAAAGCATAGAAATTGGGCTCAATTGTGTCTCTCAGCTACTTCTAGGTGAGGAATTGGAATGTTTGAAGACATTTCTAACTTGTCTAACATTGGGGAAACAATTTCAGGTATGTGTACTTGCATTTCATTTAAGCAATGGAAAGGATGCTCTGCATCCTGGGGAGAAAGCAGCCCCATTGACATACACAGCTGCCTGTAGATCCCCCATGAGACCCACCCCTGGCCTGCCCGTTCACTGGGGTCTGTGATTGTGTTTCCCTCTGCCCCACAGATAACTGTGTCCAGAGGACCCCCAGGCCATCCGTGGAGAGCGTGCACCACAACCCTCCCACCATTGAACTCTTGCACCGCCCTAGGTCACCCATCACGACAAACCACCGGCCTTCTCCTGACCCCGAGCAGCGGCCCCTTCGATCCCCCCTGGACAACATGATCCGCCGCCTCTCCCCGGCCGAGAGGGCCCAGGGACCGAGGCTCCACCAGGAGAACAACCACCAGGAGTCCTACCCCTTGTCAGTGTCTCCCATGGAGAATAATCACTGCCCGCCATCCTCCGAGTCCCACCCGAAGCCCTCCAGTCCCCGGCAGGAGAGCACCCGAGTGATCCAGCTGATGCCCAGTCCCATCATGCACCCTTTGATCCTGAACCCCCGGCACTCCGTGGATTTCAAACAGTCCAGGCTTTCTGAGGATGGGCTGCACAGGGAAGGGAAACCCATCAACCTCTCTCATCGGGAAGACCTGGCCTACATGAACCACATCATGGTCTCCGTGTCCCCGCCTGAAGAACACGCTCTGCCCATTGGGAGAATAGCAGGTGAGTGAGCTTGCCCATCCCTCCCACGCCTCTCCAGCATCAGGGGCACCTGACAAAGCTCTGCTGCCCTCTGAGAATCTCACAGTTGGCCTCACCATTCCCAATTAGGTGCCCACAAAGGCTCTGGGAGGGCAACTGGAGGCTTCTGCCTAGATGAGGCAGGATCCCTAATGGCCTGGTTAATGAGCCGCTGGGATGGCGTAGTTAATGAGCCTCAGAAATGTTAAGAAACAAATGTCCTGCACACAGCTTACAAGGAGAGTCACACCAGAATCATGGCTAAGCGAAAACATTTAAAATAAAAGGTTTATGAGCATGCTAATGGCCCTGTCCTGGAGTTTCCAGCAGCTAATTAATGACCAGACACAGCATAAAGAACCTTTGTCTCAGAGTCATGGCCGTAATTCCATCCTATAGGCAGTGACTCAGTGTAACTTTCACCTTGAGAGCAGGGAAGAGAGGAAAACTGGATTGTGGTAGTAGATGCTAGTGTTGTTAGGTCATTTGGGCAGAGGAAACCACTCCCAAATTCTTTTTCTTCTATGATGACAAGCCCAAATTTGCTTACCTAAGAAGCCAGTGGAAACCAGTAGGGGGAAAAGAAAAAATCTACGCCTTGCCTTTTTGCTAGTCTGCTAACAATTAACATACAATCACTCTCCAAAAAGCCTCATGCTCTGTTGGGCAAGGCAAACTCTTCCCAGAATGTCTGTCCATTCATGGGACATTTGTTGAGCACCTACTATGTACAGATAAATGCATTAGGTACACAGCATACAGGGCTGATTGTTAACACACAGTATCTTTTTGCTCAGGGAATTGAGAACTTAGTGAGAGAAGCAAAACAGGAAAAACACTGACATACAAGGGCAAAAGGAAATAAGTTCAACATCTAATTTTTTTCGGTGCCAAGCATTCATTGAATACCTACTGTGTGCCAGAATAATAAAGCAAAGCAGAAAGAAGGCACATTTTGACTAGAGGGACCAAAAAAAGGCTTTGCATGGGAGATACTGATGTGATTATGCTTTCAGTAGTGGGAGGGAGGCCTGGAGGAAGAAGACATGTCCTTCTGTCCATGAGCTGGTGCTCCAGCTAGCCATATGGATGCATAGACATTTCTGCAGGACTGCTTCACCTCCACCTTGACTCATTATCTCTTTTTTATTTAAGCTGTTTGTTTCTTGAGTTTTCTCTGGTCCCAAGTACACCTCCCATGTTGCCTCTTTTTGTTGTTATAAGTGATTTACATTAGGAATGTTGAATCAAGAAAATAAAATAGAGGCTGGAGGCGTAGCTCAATGGTAGAGCACTTGCCCAGCATGTGGAAAGCTCTGGGTTTCGTCCCCAGCACTTAAGAAAAAACAGAAAGGAAGAAAATGAGGGAGGTCAGTGGGTCCTCGTGGACCACTCCTGGAGGCTGTTAACCTACAAGAAATGGCTCATATGTTGAAAAGAGTTTTTTGTTTTTTTTTAATTGGAATATTTTTGGGATTCAACTGAAAATCCTCCCACAGGTTTGGGGGATGGGAAGTGGATGGGGTAAACAGGACAGGTTAGCCAGGAGCTGGCTGATAGTTTCATGGTGATGGATGCACAGGGGTTCTCATTATTGTTCTCTCCACTTTTACACATATATTAATTTTTGTGTGTGTGGTGCTGGGTATTGAACCCAGGGCCTTGTACACACAAGGCAAGCTCTCTACCAACTGAGCTATACCCCCAGCCCTACATTGATTTTTTAATAATATAAAAAGAAACTATGTGGGGGGGGGGGGAAGGAACAGGAGATAAAGAAGCAAAGAGCCTGGGAAAAAACACATGAATTTCCTCAGATATTGGAGACAGAGGGGGGTTCAGAGTATTGCTATGAATAATATAAAGACCTCTCTTGTGCTTTCCAGGTAAGACCCCTTTTGTTTACATAAACCCTTCTCATACGGTCTGTACTACTTGATATTTTCACATCTTCTTTACTCATTTATTATTCTCAGGGCAGCTCTTTGAGGTAGATTTTTACTGCTATATTCATTTTATGTGGAAAAGTTCTTTGTACAGGGGAAACCACAGAGAGAATTGAACCACAGAAGGAATTGAGACCCAGAGAGGCAACATCCTTTGCCCAGGACAGGTGGCCTGCTGCCCCATTGGTGGCTGTCCATAGTGCTGCCCTCGAGAGGTCTGACTTCCTCATCAAGAGTCAAGATCTGTCATGTCCACCTCCTCTGTGACCCCATCTTAACCACAGACTTCTTAGGAATCTAAGATTAGCCCATATATTCGGAAAGATATACTGTTTAGACTTAAGGAGTTGTTTCCCCTTGTATAATAGGTTTGTCAACTTTAAATCATCTGTCCCTTAAAATCATTCCACTGTTTTTTTTAATTAATTAACTTATTTTAATTAGGTATATATGACAGCAGAATGCATTTTGATTCATTGTACAATTGCAGCCAACTTTACATTTCTATGGTTGTACATGATGTAGCATCTCACCATATGTGCAGTCATACATGTACCTAGGGTAATAATGTCCATGTCACTTTTTTTTGTTTTTGTTTTGTTTGTTTGTTTGTTTGTTTGTTTAATCTCATTCCTGGACACAGCATTGTTTGTTGACAGATGCAGACTCATCAAACTTTGTACCACCCAAGCAATGAGCCGTGGTATCTCTGATGTCCTCTCTCTTTGAGAACACACAGAGAGGAAGAGCCTCTGATTTTCTTTATGGATCTCGGAAGTCAGAATGTTCATGTAAAATAATCCTGGAGCCAGATCATATGGGGAATGCATTAACTCCTTCAGTAAGACAGATTATTAACATTCTAATGATATATTCAAAAGTTTTAAAATCTCCAAATATATGCATTAACTAATTGAACCAAATCCAAGATGAACGAATTTAACTGCAAGGCATTGTTTTTCTCAGAGGTCAAATGACAGATTTGGAGAGGGAGAGCTCTGAAGTTCCTTCCCACTCTGCAAGTCGGCAATCTAGCACTGTCTTTATTCCATAACCCTCTGAAGAGGTCTTGTCACAGTGTTAGGTATCTCCAGGTACCCCTGCCTCCCTACCCCATGCCCCTGATGTCTTTCTGGACAACTCAGATCCTTGAAAAACTGATCCATCTATTGGAGGTCGAATTCCTTGAGTGATCTCTATGTACAACTTAAGGTTCTGTCATGACTGAGCAGCCACAAGAAGCCTTTAAATCTCTATAAAGCAGCTGTTAGATGAGAAAACTTAGTTCCTTAAGGCTCTTTAAATGAGCAGAGCACAGAAAGAAATGAAGATACTGCCAAATGTCACACTGATGAGTGCCACAGCTGGAGGGTATAGATGGCAACATTACTCATGGATGTGGGTCAAAAACAAAGTCGGATTCCCACCATTCACATATCATTTGCCTCAATACACTAGGACTTCAACATTCAGACACCTTCTGTGTTTATGGGACTGTACTGCGCTCCTGTGAGGTGGGAGTTCATGAAGGTGTAAGGCACAAGCTCTATCATGAAAGAGCTGAGCAGAGTTAGCTATAACAGTAAAGCGGTGATGCGTGTCTTAGTACTGGAGGAGGTCAGGGCAGCCGCTTGGAGGGCAGCCTTTAGCTGGGCTTGGAAGAACACTGAAAATATAGACAAGAGGAGATTAGAGAAGAAGAGGTCACTCCAGCTAGAGAAAACTCCCAGGAGCAAACACAACCTAAGGCCCAGTGTATTTTTTTTTTTCCTACTTCAGGTAGAGATTTAAATTTACCATTTAACCTGGTCAATTAAAAGGATCAGTTTTCATAAAATTCTCTTTCTTGTAATGTTTTAATATTTCTGAAATTATGATGCATTGTACAGTTAAAAGACTATATGCAAAGCTGTGACAGTTTACCTGGGTATTTACCATGTGGAAAAAAACAAAGTAATTAATAAAGGAAATTCAGTAGATGGTTGACAGATCACAAATTAGATCTAGTTAAATATAACATGTAGCTTTTTTTTTCCCGAGAGGATAAGGATTATTATTAAGAGCTTAACAAGCTGGAGTGACTGGCAAGAGAGAGAGACAAGTTCCCTGGGATCTGTTTTTTTATTGAATAACCAATGATGTATGTATCAATGAGTAACCTGCTTCTTCCTGTGATATTTTCTATTTATTATCTTCAGGAAAGGATTGCTGGAGGGTTAGTGGAGGAGTGGGAAGCATAACTATCTACTAGAACATTTCTCTATCTACAAAAGTCTTACTGTAGACTGTGTCCCACCTGTGTTTCATAGGCAAAGGGACTAACTGGCCATGAGCAACCACAGATTGATGAGCTGTGACCCTAGTAATGCTGGGAGTCACATTTTCAGTATGCACAGCAGTTTCCCCTAGCCCACGGTTTCAGTTACCCGTGGTCAATCAAAATCTAAAAATATTAATGGAAACTTCCAGAAAGTTACAAGTTTTAAATAACTTATTATAGTGTATCAGTATAATTGTTCTATTTTATTGTTAGCATTGTAACCTCTTACTGTGCCTAATTTATAAACTAAACATTATCTTAAGTATGCATGTGTAGGGAAAAGCAGCATATCTATGGTATCCTGTATTAGTTTCAGGCGTCATCCACTGGGGGTCTCAGAATTTATTCTGCATGGATAAGGGGAACTACTTGTATTGAAATTCCTTCTTAAGATTAGATAATTTCAAAGCTAGAAGCATCCTTTACACATGAAGGAACTGACATTCAGACACATTAGTATTGCACCCTCCAGCCTCTGTCTATTGCTTTTCCCAAAATGCTGTTTCTTTCTGCCCTGGGTCTCTTGTCCATTCCTTGGAGCAAGGATTAAAGGTCTGGCTAAATCCAAACACCACCTGTTTTTATAAATTAGGTGTTAGTAGAAAATAGTAGGTGTGTGTCCACTTTCATGCTGCACTGGGAGTAGAATTGAGTAGTTCCAGAGATTGTGTGGCCACAAAGCCTCAAGTGTTCACTAATTAGCTCTACACAAAAGG